GTTGATGATCATGGTGGTGATGATGGTGGTGGTGATGGTAATGGTGGTGGTGATGGTGGTGATGGTGGTGATGATGATGGTGATGGTGGTGATGGTGGTGATGATGATGGTGGTGATGATGGTGGTGGTGGTGATGAGGGTGATGGTGATGATGGTGGTAATGATGGTGGTGGTGGTGATGATGGTGGTGATGGTGGTGGTGGTGATGATGGTGGTGATGATGGTGGTGATGATGATGGTGGTGGTCGTGGTGGTGATGATGGTGGTGGTGGTGATGATGGTGGTGATGATGGTGGTGGTGATGATGGTGGTGGTGGTGGTGGTGATGATGGTGATGGTGGTGGTGATGGTGGTGATGATGGTGATGGTGGTGGTGATGGTGGTGGCGATGGTGGTGGTTATGATGGTGTTGATGTTGGAGGTGGTGATGGTGATGATCATGGTGATGTTGGAGGTGGTGGTGGTGATGATCATGGTGGTAGTGGTGGTGATGGTGGTGATGATCATGGTGATGGTGGTGATGGTGGTGATGATGATGGTGTTGGTGGTGGTGGTGTTGATGATCATGGTGGTGATGATGATGGTGGTGGTGATGATGATGGTGGTGATGATGGTAATGGTGGTGGTGATGGTGGTGATGATCGTGGTGATGTTGGAGGTGGTGATGGTGGTGATGGTGGTGGTGTTGATGATCATGGTTATGTTGGAGGTGGTGATGTTGAAGGTGGTGGTGATGGTGGTGGTGATGATCATGGCGATGTTGGAGGTGGTGGTGCTGATTATCATGGTGTTTTTGGAGGTGGTGGTGGTGATGGTGGTGATGATGGTGGTGGTGACGGTGGTGGTGATGATGGTGGTGGTGGTGATGATGATGATGGTGGTGGTGATGGTGGTGGTGATGATGATGGTGGTGGTGATGGTGGTGGTGGTGATGGTGGTGGTGATGGTGGTGGTGGTGATGATGATGATGATGGTGGTGGTGATGGTGGTGGTGGTGATGGTGGTGGTGGTGATGATGATGATGGTGGTGGTGGTGATGATGGTGAAGTTGGAGGTGGTGGTGATGGTGGTGGTGGTGGTGATGATGATGGTGGTGGTGATGATGGTGGTAGTGATGATGATGGTGGTGGTGGTGGTGATGGTGGTGGTGATGGTGGTGATGATGGTGGTGGTGGTAGTGATGATGGTGGTGATGGTGGTGATGGTGGTGGTGATGATGATGATGGTGGTGATGATGGTGGTGGTGATGGTGGTGGTGGTGATGATGGTGGTGGTGATGATGATGGTGATGATGGTGGTGATGGTGGTGATGATGGTGGTGATGGTGGTGGTGATGATGGTGGTGGTGATGGTGGTGATGGTGGTGATGATGGTGGTGGTGATGGTGGTGGTGATGGTGGTGGTGGTGGTGTTGGTGATGATGATGGTGGTGGTGATGGTGGTGATGATGGTGATGATGGTGGTGATGGTGGTGATGATGGTGATGGTGGTGGTGGTGGTGATGATGGTGGTGATGATGGTGGAGGTGGTGATGGTGATGATTGTGGTGGTGGTGATGGTGGTGATGAGGGTGATGGTGTTGGTGGTGGTGTTGATGATCATGGTGGTGGTGATGGTGGTGATGATGGTAATGGTGATGGTGGTGGTGATGGTGGTGGTGATGGTGGTGATGATGATGGTGATGGTGGTGATGATGATGATGGTGGTGATGATGGTGGTGATGGTGGTGATGATGGTGGTGGTGGTGATGAGGGTGATGGTGATGATGGTGGTAATGATGGTGGTGGTGGTGATGATGGTGGTGATGGTGGTGGTGGTGATGGTGGTGATGATGGTGGTGATGATGATGGTGGTGGTCGTGGTGGTGATGATGGTGGTGGTGGTGATGATGGTGGTGGTGATGGTGATGATGGTGGTGGTGGTGGTGATGATGGTGGTGGTGGTGATGATGGTGATGGTGGTGGTTATGATGGTGTTGATGTTGGAGGTGGTGATGGTGATGATCATGGTGATGTTGGAGGTGGTGGTGCTGGTGGTGATCATGGTGATGTTGGAGGTGGTGGTGCTGGTGGTGATGGTTGTGCTGGTGGTGGTGATGATCATGGTGATGTTGGAGGTGGTGATGGGATGATGATGTTGATACAACCCATGGCACCTGGGTCTGTCACGTGACCTCTTCATGCACCTAACCTGGCACAGTAGCCAACCCATGGCACCTGGGTCTGTCACGTGACCTCGTGCACCAAAACGTCTATACTTATCAATGTTATGGTTTATTTGGATATCTACTTATCAATGTTATGGTTTATACGGCATTTTTTAAATGTTATGTTCATACGGCGACAAACTTATCAGTGTTATGGTTTACACTGCTATATACTTATCAGTGTTATGGTTTACGCTGCTACAATCTTATTAGTGTTGTGGTTTCAACTGCTCTATACCTATCAGTGTTATGGTTTACACTGCTGTTTGCCTATCAGTGTTATGATTTACACCGCTATATACGTATCAGTGTTATATTTTTATATTCTTGGTTCTTTCGGTAAAGTCACCACCACGTAGAAGGGAAACAATAAAATAATAAAAATATAAAACAATAAAATGTGTCACGACGTTTCGACTGCAACACAAGCAATCATCATCAGGTGTGAAACCCACAGCAAGAAATTTTTTTTTTTCAAATTTTCTTGCTGTGGGTTTCACACCTGATGATTGCTGCTTTGTGTTGCAGTCGAAACGTCGTGAGAATTTTCTTGTTTTATATTTTTATTATTTTATTGTTTCCCTTCTACGTGGTGACTTTAACCACAGAACCAAGAATAATAATTTTATTGTTTTACAATAATTTTATTGTTTTATATTTTTATTATTTTATTGTTTCCCTTCTACGTGGTGGTGACTTTAACCACAGAACCAAGAATAATAATTTTATTGTTTTAAAATAACTTTATTGTTTTATATTTTTATTATTTTATTGTTTCCCTTCTACGTGGTGACTTTAACCACAGAACCAAGAATAATAATTTTATTGTTTTAAAATAACTTTATTGTTTTATATTTTTATTATTTTATTGTTTCCCTTCTACGTGGTGACTTTAACCACAGAACCAAGAATAATAATTTTATTGTTTTAAAATAACTTTATTGTTTTATATTTTTATTATTTTATTGTTTCCCTTCTACGTGGTGGTGACTTTACCGAAAGAACCAACGAATAATAATTTTATTGTTTTACAATAATTGTATTGTTTTATATTTTTTATTATTTTATTGTTTCCCTTCTACGTGGTGGTGACTTTAATCACATAACCAAGAATAATAATTTTATTGTTTTACAATAATTTTATTGTTTTATATTTTTATTATTTTATTGTTTCCCTTCTACGTGGTGACTTTAACCACAGAACCAAGAATAATAATTTTATTGTTTTACAAAAAATTTATTGTTTTATATTTTTATTATTTTATTGTTTCCCTTCTACGTGGTGGTGACTTTACCGAAAGAACCAACGAATAATAATTTTATTGTTTTACAATAATTGTATTGTTTTATATTTTTTATTATTTTATTGTTTCCCTTCTACGTGGTGGTGACTTTAATCACAGAACCAAGAATAATAATTTTATTGTTTTACAATAATTGTATTGTTTTATATTTTTATTATTTTATTGTTTCCCTTCCACGTGGTGGTGACTTTACCGGAAGAACCAATAATAATTTTTTTATCAATTTTATTGTTTTATATTTTTATTATTTTATTGTTTCCCTATCTACGTGACTTTACCGGAAGAACCAAGAATATTTTATCCCTGCAGTCACGAAAGCTTTCAATCAAAATTGATCAGTGTTATGTTTACACTGCTACTTATCCGTGTTATGATTTACACTGCTATATACCTATCAGTGTTATGGTTTACACAGCGACATACTTATCAGTGTTGTGATTTACAACACTCTATACTTATCAGTGTTACGTTTACACTGCTACTTATCAGTGTTATGATTTACACTGCTATATACCTATCAGTGTTATGGTTTACACAGCGACATACTTATCAGTGTTGTGATTTACAACACTCTATACTTATCAGTGTTATGTTTACGCTGCTACTTATCGGTGTTATGATTTACACTGCTACATACCTACCAGTGTTATGGTTTACACATCGACATACTTATCAGTGTTGTGATTTACAACACTCTATACTTATCAGTGTTATGTTTACACTGCTACTTATCAGAGTTATGATTTACACTGCTATATACCTATTAGTGTTATGGTTTACACAGCGACATACTTATCTGTGTTGTGATTTACAACACTATACTTATCAGTGTTATGTTTACACTGCTACTTATCAGTGTTACGATTTACACTGCTACATACCTACCAGTGTTATGGTTTACACATCGACATACTTATCAGTGTTGTGATTTACACCGCTGGATCCATAGCAGTGTTATGGTTTACGCCGCTAAATACTTATCAGTGGTATGATTTACACCGCTGTATACTTATCACTGGTATGATTTACACCGCTATATACTTATCAGTGTTATGGTTTACACCGATCTACTATTTGAACCCGAAGAAACTACGGGTGGAGACTGCAGAGGCGTCGCGTGACTCTCCGTGTCCCCGTGTCTCTCTAACCCCGTGTCTCTCTCTCCCCGTGTCTCTCTATCCCCGTGTCTCTCTCCCCGTGTCTCTCTCCGTGTCTATCTATCCCCGTGTCTCTCTCCGTGTCTCTCCGTGTCCCCGTGTCTCTCTCTCACCGTGTCTCTCTCCGTGTCCCCGTGTCTCTCTCCGTGTCCCCGTGTCTCTCTCCGTGTCCCCGTGTCTCTCTCCCCGTGTCTCTCTCCCCGTGTCTCTCTCCGTGTCCCTCTCTCACCGTGTCTCTCTCCCCGTGTCTCTCTCTCACCGTGTCTCTCTCTCCCGTGTCTCTCTCCCCGTGTCTCTGCCGTGTCCCCGTGTCTCTCTCTCCCCGTGTCTCTCCGTGTCCCCGTGTCTCTCTCTCCTCCCGTGTCTCTCCCCGTGTCTCTCTCCTCGTGTCTCTCTCCCCGTGTCTCTCTCCCGATATGTCTCCGCTGTCTCCGCTGCTGGTGGTGGTGGTTCTCAATCTGGCTCACGTAACGTACGGTAGGTGAACCTAGCCTGGCACACACACACAGATACACTCACACAGACACACACACACAGATATACACAGATACACATACACAAAGAGACACACAGATACACAGACACAGATACACAGACACAGAGACAGACACAGAGACACAGAGACACACACAGATACACTCACACAGACACACACACAGATACACACATACATATACACACAGATACACACAGATACACATACACAAAGAGACACACAGATACACAGACACAGATACACAGACACAGATACACAGACACACAGAGACACAGATACACAGACACACAGAGACACACACAGATACACTCACACAGACACACACACAGATACACAGACAGATACACATACACAGAGACACACAGACACACACAGATACACAGACACAGATACACAGACACAGATACACATACACACACAGAGACACAGAGAGAGAGACACAGAGAGACACACACAGAGACACACAGAAACACAGAGAGAGACACACATAGAGACACACTCACACAGACACATACACACTCACACAGAGACACACACAGACACACAGAGAAAGACACACACAGAGACACACAGAACCACACAGAGACACACAGAGAGAGACACACACACAGAGACACACAGAGAAACACACAGAGAGAGACACACAGAGAAACACACAGAGAGAGACACACACACAGAGACACACAGAGAAACACACAGAGAGAGACACACAGAGAAACACACAGAGAGAGACACACACACAGAGAAAGACACACAGAGACACAGAGAAACACAGAGAGAGACACACAGAGAAACACACAGAGAGAGACACACAGAGACACACACAGAGACACACAGAGACACACACAGAGACACACAGAGAAACACAGAGAGAGAGACACACAGAGAAACACACAGAGAGAGACACACAGAGACACACACAGAGACACACAGAGAAACACAGAGAGAGAGACACACAGAGAAACACACCAAGACACACACACAGAGACACAGAGAAAGACACACACAGAGACACACAGAGAGAGACACACAGATAGAGACACACAGACAGAGACACACAGAGAGACACAGAGAGAGACTCAAACAGAGACACAGAGAGAGAGACACACAGAGAGAGACACACAGAGAGAGACACACACAGAGACACACAGAGAGAGAGACACAGAGACACACAGAGACACAGAGAAAGACACATACAGAGACACACAGAGAGAGACACACAGAGAGAGACTCAAACAGAGACACAGAGAGAGACACACAGAGACACACAGAGAGAGAGACACAGAGAGAGACACAGAGAGAGACACACAGAGAGACACAGAGAGAGACACACACATAGACACACATAGACACAGAGAGACACACAGAGAGACACACACAGAGACACAGAGAGAGACACAGAGAGAGACACACAGAGAGACACAGAGACACACAGAGAGACAGAGACACACAGAGAGACAGAGACACACAGGGAGACAGAGAGACACACAGAGACACACAGAGACACAGAGAGAGACACACAGACACACAGAGAGACACACACACAGAGAGACACAGAGACACAGAGAGAGACACGCAGGGAGTTCAGTTTTCAGTTCCATTTATTTTGGTATATCCCTGTGAGCCATTCGGCTCTTGAATCGGGTGCAACCACAACAAACACAAAAACTAAAACAAGAAAAAATCCTAAAGTGACTATGTGTGTTGACTGTGCAAACAGAAAATCTAGGAAAAAAAACATCAAAATATTCCTGAAATAGCACCATACACCACCAACTCTGTGTGGAAAAACCCCAGTGGGATGTAAGTCAAACAACAACAATCACAACAACAACCACAAGATAACTTAGATTAAGGCCATCAGTCTAACTCCGTTACTACAACAACAACCACAAGACAACTTAGATTAAGGCCGTCAGTCTAACTCCGTTACTACAACAACAACCACAAGACAACTTAGATTAAGGCCATCAGTCTAACTCCGTTACTACAACAACAACCACAAGACAACTTAGATTAAGGCCGTCAGTCTAACTCCGTTACTACAACAACAACAGCCACAAGACAACTTAGATTAAGGCCATCAGTCTAACTCCGTTACTACAACAACCACCACAAGACAACTTAGATTAAGGCCGTCAGTCTAACTCCGTTACTACAACAACAACCACAAGCCAACTTAGATTAAGGCCATCAGTCTACTCCGTACTACAACAACAACCACAAGACAACTTAGATTAAGGCCATCAGTCTAACTCCGTACTACAACAACAACCACAAGACAACTTAGATTAAGGCCGTCAGTCTAACTCCGTACTACAACAACAACAAACCACAAGACAACTTAGATTAAGGCCATCAGTTTGTGAGTTAACAACAACAACCACAAGACAACTTAGATTAAGGCCATCAGTCTAACTCCGTTACTACAACAACAACAAGACAACTTAGATTAAGGCCATCAGTTTGTGAGTTAACAACAACAACAACAAGACAACTTAGATTAAGGCCATCAGTTTGTGAGTTAACAACAACAACAACAACCACAAGACAACTTAGATTAAGGCCATCAGTTTGTGAGTTAACATCAACAACCACAAGACAACTTAGATTAAGGCCATCAGTTTGTGAGTTAATAACAACAACAACAAGACAACTTAGATTAAGGCCATCAGTTTGTGAGTTAACAACAACAACCACAAGACAACTTAGATTAAGGCCATCAGTTTGTGAGTTAACAACAACAACAACCACAAGACAACTTAGATTAAGGCCATCAGTTTAACTCCGTTACTACAACAACCACAAGACAACTTAGATTAAGGCCATCAGTCTAACTCCGTTACTACAACAACAACAACCACAAGACAACTTAGATTAAGGCCATCAGTCTAACTCCGTACTACAACAACAACCACAAGACAACTTAGATTAAGGCCATCAGTCTAACTCCGTTACTACAACAACAACCACAAGACAACTTAGATTAAGGCCATCAGTCTAACTCCGTTACTACAACAACAACCACAAGACAACTTAGATTAAGGCCATCAGTTTGTGAGTTAACAACAACAACAACCACAAGACAACTTAGATTAAGGCCATCAGTTTGTGAGTTAACATCAACAACAACAACCACAAGACAACTTAGATTAAGGCCATCAGTTTGTGAGTTAATAACAACAACAACAACAAGACAACTTAGATTAAGGCCATCAGTTTGTGAGTTAACAACAACAACCACAAGACAACTTAGATTAAGGCCATCAGTTTGTGAGTTAACAACAACAACAACCACAAGACAACTTAGATTAAGGCCATCAGTTTAACTCCGTTACTACAACAACCACAAGACAACTTAGATTAAGGCCATCAGTCTAACTCCGTTACTACAACAACAACAACCACAAGACAACTTAGATTAAGGCCATCAGTTTAACTCCGTTACTACAACAACAACAAGACAACTTAGATTAAGGCCATCAGTTTATGAGTTAACAACAACCACAAGACAACTTAGATTAAGTCCATCAGTTTATGAGTTAACAACAACAACAAGACAACTTAGATTAAGGCCATCAGTCTAACTCCGTACTACAACAACAACCACAAGACAACTTAGATTAAGGCCATCAGTCTAACTCCGTTACTACAACAACAACCACAAGACAACTTAGATTAAGGCCATCAGTCTAACTCCGTTACTACAACAACAACCACAAGACAACTTAGATTAAGGCCATCAGTTTAACTCCGTTACTACAACAACCACAAGACAACTTAGATTAAGGCCATCAGTCTAACTCCGTTACTACAACAACAACAACAAGACAACTTAGATTAAGGCCATCAGTCTAACTCCGTACTACAACAACAACAACCACAAGACAACTTAGATTAAGGCCATCAGTCTAACTCCGTTACTACAACAACAACCACAAGACAACTTAGATTAAGGCCATCAGTCTAACTCCGTTACTACAACAACAACCACAAGACAACTTAGATTAAGGCCATCAGTTTGTGAGTTAACAACAACAACAACCACAAGACAACTTAGATTAAGGCCATCAGTTTGTGAGTTAACATCAACAACAACAACCACAAGACAACTTAGATTAAGGCCATCAGTTTGTGAGTTAATAACAACAACAACAACAAGACAACTTAGATTAAGGCCATCAGTTTGTGAGTTAACAACAACAACCACAAGACAACTTAGATTAAGGCCATCAGTTTGTGAGTTAACAACAACAACCACAAGACAACTTAGATTAAGGCCATCAGTTTAACTCCGTTACTACAACAACCACAAGACAACTTAGATTAAGGCCATCAGTCTAACTCCGTTACTACAACAACAACAACAACCACAAGACAACTTAGATTAAGGCCATCAGTTTAACTCCGTTACTACAACAACAACAAGACAACTTAGATTAAGGCCATCAGTTTATGAGTTAACAACAACCACAAGACAACTTAGATTACGTCCATCAGTTTATGAGTTAATAACAACAACAACAACAAGACAACTTAGATTAAGGCCATCAGTTTGTGAGTTAACATCAACAACAACAACCACAAGACAACTTAGATTAAGGCCATCAGTTTGTGAGTTAATAACAACAACAACAACAAGACAACTTAGATTAAGGCCATCAGTTTGTGAGTTAACAACAACAACCACAAGACAACTTAGATTAAGGCCATCAGTTTGTGAGTTAACAACAACAACAACCACAAGACAACTTAGATTAAGGCCATCAGTTTAACTCCATTACTACAACAACCACAAGACAACTTAGATTAAGGCCATCAGTCTAACTCCGTTACTACAACAACAACAACCACAAGACAACTTAGATTAAGGCCATCAGTTTAACTCCGTTACTACAACAACAAGACAACTTAGATTAAGGCCATCAGTTTATGAGTTAACAACAACCACAAGACAACTTAGATTAAGTCCATCAGTTTA